GAACGTGTAATAGCAGGTTTAGAAAAAAAATCGCGAGTACTTTCTCCAGAAGAAAAGAAAACAGTAGCATATCATGAAGCAGGACATGCAGTTGCAGGATGGTTCCTCGAACATGCGGACCCTTTGTTAAAAGTATCAATCATTCCTAGAGGTATTGGAGCACTTGGGTATGCACAATACTTACCAAAGGATCAATATTTATATTCAACAGCACAATTGCTAGATCGTATGTGTATGACATTGGGTGGACGAGTTTCAGAACAGATCTTTTTTAATATAGTTACTACCGGTGCTCAAGATGATTTGCAGAAAGTAACAAAGATGGCATATGCACAAGTATCAGTTTACGGTATGAATTCTAATGTAGGCCCTTTATCCTTCCATAATCCAAATGAAACAGAACCACAATTTCAGAAACCATATTCTGAAGAGACAGCCAAAATGATTGATGAAGAAGTTCGTAAATTAGTATCATTAGCTTATAAAAGAACAATGGAACTACTTACAGAAAAAAAGAAAGATGTTGAGAAAGTAGCACAACTTTTATTGTCAAAAGAAGTACTAAATAGAGAGGATATGATATCATTATTAGGAAAAAGACCATTTACAGAAAAAAGTTCTTATGATGATTATGTTAACCCAAAAGACGAAAACACACCATTACCACCACCGGCGGAAAAAGATGGTCACGCACAGCCATCGTCTAATGCACAGTAAAATAGTTCACCTTATTTTATGTCGACTGTTATTTGAATAAAAAAATAATAATTTATTTCTGTTTTAAAAAGTCACAAAAAGTTTATTGCGCATGATATTTATTCAAATCACGTGCAATAACGAAATTTTTTATGCAGATATTAGATTAGTGATTGTAGTTGATAAAATCAACTTGGCTGTTCTTCAAGCACCTTAATGAATCGGAGACAAAATTTTAATGAGTCAGAAATTAAACAAAATAATCAAGTGAGTTATCATTTCGATAAACAATATATGAAAGCAGAGGCTAAAATTTAATATCTTCATTTCGTACTATGAATCTTTAGCAAAAATTGCGATCACTAACAAATCATATTGATGAGCTGCTTGAGAACAACCTAAGTCAGCCAATTTTTTGAAAATTCGAATCGATTAAATGTTGATCATGTATATAGAAACTAGACAATACATGGCTACCAGAAATTTTAGGATATATTTTTTATAACTTATACTACGAGCAATTGACTTGGCATAGTCAAGCCGATAAATTTAATCGACTACAATCACTAATTTAAATTATCAACGTGTACTAAAATATAGTGATAAGTTGATTGTTGTTCGAACTTATTATAAAGACAGCTTTTAGAAAAAAGGTTTAAATTTATTACTGTATTATTCGTTTTTAAATAAAGTTACTAAACTTTTAAATATAAGATTATCGTTATAGGGTTTAAAATAAAAGAATTATAGTAAATAATACAAAGTTAATGCTCATCCAGATCCATCTTTTATAACTTAAGGATTACTCATCTCTTCCAAACTAAACCAGTTGTTCCACTTCAAATCACATGTTTCATCAAGATAGCTCACTAAAGTTAGACTAATACTTGATATATATCTTTTGTTTTTGACTGTTTAAGGAAGATACATAACCAATTCTTCTCCAGAATCCGTAGATCTTAATTATTCAAAAAAAGCACACCGGTAGTTAAGAAAGCAGAAAAAACTTTTATCTTCGTAAGTCTGAACATCGTTATTAAAAGGATACCGTAAGAACATAATCTTATTAGGATAAAAGCTCTTATTTTTAATAATAAATTAACTGATTGTTAATTTTTTTTGGTGATCGCCCATACTACCTTGATTAGCTGGCTCTTGCCTCCGTTAAAAGATTT